AAGATGAAGTCAAACTGATTTCCAAGAGCATGCAAAGAGAAAATGCAAATATTTGCGGATCGCATCCGTCCAATCCTCTCTCCTTCGCTCCTCTCCCTTGCGTTTTATTATTATTATTATGTTATGCTCCTCTCCCTGCCCAGAGTCAGCCACAGATGGACCATATACGGACGGAGGACAGCTCATTGGGACGAGAGTTCCCTATTCAGATTACATTTCCGATTCAAAGGGAAAGGGGACAAACGCTGGTCTCCACTTGAATACTAATGAGTGACCAGACGAGTCAGGAAAAGCGAGGATTACAACAATGGGACATGACCGAGTGAAAGGATAAAGAGGTCAGTTTCTACGCCAATGGATGGACGAAGGGTGAAAGTTGGGTAGCATATCCGCACAATCTGTATGCATGCATTTGACAACTGACACTTGACTTGTCTTTGTTAACCCACAAGTAGCTGGCAGGATGACCATAAGCTATACACACAAACCAACAAGTTGACTCCACTCTCCTGCAAAATAAGCGGCCAAAGCCTCCCGGGATTTGAATCCTTGTACATAAACGCAGATAATAAATACGTATATGAAGTTCATATTATGAACGACAACATTTAAAAAAACATTATTAAAAAAAGCATACTTAATTTTCCGACTGCTTTCCCCTCAGAGCGATAAAAATCCAAATCCCTCCGAAACACGGGAATGAATCAACAAGAAAGAAGGTGATTTGGGTAAACCTGGTTCACTATAAAATAGCGGAGAAGAAAGTTCTGACTTGGAAAAAAGTGAAATAAAGTGAAGTCGACTGGACACCAACAACTGCTGTTTGCCCATGGATCGAGTGTCGTTGAGTGCAGGCCAGGCAGGGAGGAAGGAATATGGATTCATATCACATCACATAACGAAAAATGAAAGAAAGGAAGAAATCCAAGCCCGTCACTTTCTTTCTTTTTCTAACCAGAACCCATGTGCCGTCTTCTTCGTCTTCTTCTAATGGAGAATCTCAAGTCTTGTTGAATGGATTGCATAAGCAAACAAAGAACGTCCACTTTTGTCCAGCTCAGTCAATTCAAACAAGTAAAAGTCACTCATTTCCATCTCTAAAGAAACTAAATCTGGACAGGGGACACACACCCAGGTTGTGAGCATCGTGACACTTGACTCTCACGGTTTGGCTGCCTCTCGTCGCGCACAAATGGCACCCGCACTTCTGGAGGACCCACTGCCACTGCTTTTTCTCCAAAATGGGAGAAACTCTTCACCGACCAACTCGGTCCCTTCTCGTGATGGTGTTTGTCTTGGGTGAAGTGAAGTGGGTGGAGGACAAACAGAAACTTGTTTGAATTCTCAGGAGTTACTATTCTCAGGAGTCCATTTACCACCATCACCCTGGAGTAAAGTAAAGTAAAATTAGTAGGATAGTCTCGTTCAGTCCGTGGCAGTGAGCAGAGGCAAGAGTAAAATCAACATCTACCATTCAAGTCAAGAAGAATAACTTGATTAACACTTATCCACTTTTGTCTCTTCGTATCGTCCTCTTGTCGTCATAATGGGATGGTGGGAACGAAATGGCACGAGAAATAATGGAGGATACTTGTAGTAGCAAAATGTTTAAGTAATTTTCAATCGTTCTCTGTTTGCATTGTTCTTATGTCACAAGGAACGACGGCCGTATTTCGGCACCGTTCTTTGCTAAATTATAAAAGTCCACACTTTCCACTTTTTCCAATCAGATAAGCCAATTAAATACGCGTATATGCTCCAACACGGCTTTTATGTCGTGACTGTCCTGGCTTTCTATTTTACAGTTTGCTTCCAACACCACCCCATCAGCTCAAATACAGCTATAATGTACACATTATGGCATGTCTTATTTTATCATGTGACACAAACTTTACGTCCGCACCGCACACACACCCAGAAGTATATTGCAATATGTGCATAGCTACGTAAAAATAATCACCAATAAAACATTATTTCATCCCTAAAATACCACTTGGAAATTTCTGAGCATAAAAAACTAATGAAATTTGAAACGCTTCCAGTAAAACCAGCCCTGTCTATCTATCCCCATCTGCTTCTACATGAGCACGTCGAGCGTGGTGATGGGTGTGGAAGGCACTCGATGAGCGGATGACAACGAGAATGAGGATCAACAGAGTGTGGTGGTGGTGGTGTTGATGTTGATTGTTGATGCAGCAGCCTGGCTTACCAGACGATAACCCTGGTGGCAGAATGAGTATGATGCGGTGGTAAGTTACACCCAATTTTATGATTGAATTTCACTCACCCACCAAACCACAAACAAACACATCAACATTGGCTATCAACAGTTTTCTCGAATGCGATGTGGCTGGATGGGCAGGGAGGGAACCACCGGAAACCATTCGCGTTCTTACGATCAACTGATCAGGGAATACGTACGTAGGAGAAACCGTCCATTGCATCATCGCGTTACTCGAGCTGAAATTGCGCTATCAATTTCATATTGCAAAAGTGAGAGTAAAGTGAAAGTAAAGTTCAGTCTAAATACGTTCATTTTTAGTGATACAAATAAAGCAGAGAATGTGCCTATATCCGTTGTGCAGTGGTTATGATAGGGGACGAAATATCTATGAAACATGCATGTTGCGTCCACTTGTTATAAAATTGGAGCCCATTCATGGAACGCACAAACACAAGCAAGACAAATTCATTTCACAAAAAATAAATCTTAAGCAAGGAAACGCGACTAAAAATAAGAAGAAAATAAAAGTAACCCCAGTGAATTAATAGTTTCAGTAGTTGTGGAAGACATGTTAACATAAATTTTTATAATGACAATTTTGAAAAAAGTTAAAAATTGAATCAAACAAACCAAAATTCTGTATTTCTGTAGTGCTTGTAGCACACATTCATATGCTAAATTGTTTCCCCTGCTCTTTCTCCTGCTTTCCTAATCAGGTTTAACTCACCCCTTTGTCAGTAGATCAGATCCGTGAACCGAATATCAGAATAATTCCATTAACTAAATCAACAGTTAACGTATTGCTTTATTGAAAATTAAATAAAAACGATGCATAATTTCAACTTCCAATATCTTCAGCAAATTGTCTCCACTTTTATCATAGCCACTTGAATTGTTATCACAGACACCACTGCATCAAAGTTAGCCTTCCCCATAGTAAAAATAAAGCATAACAAAAAAAACGAGGATTCAGAGCCGGATAGATTGATAGCTATTTCTCGCTATGAAAAGTTTATAATGGGTCTGCCGATGATACAACGAGATCCAATTCATCCGCAGCCGAGATGAGGCGAGTTCCAAAGATTAAATATTATTATTCTAGCAACAAAGGGTGGAAAAAGCGAGGAAGCGCCATTAATCACGACTAATGCGCCCATTTATTCACAATCCCAAAATCAACCTGTCTCCACCATTTACAGTTATTCAAACCCGAGAATAATACAATACAAGTCGAATCGCTTTACAACATATTTCTCACTTGCTCCCCATCATCGTCATCCACACCACATTCAAAAAATCACTTCCAATGCTCCCAGCGTCACTGTTTTTGACTATTATGCATGGGAATTTATTCCCTGTTTTTGATTCGCAGATCCAGCACAACGCAAACACATTCGTCCATCCACGAATTTCTTTTGGCTGGAGAGCGTTGTTGGATGTGTCAGGACGTGTTCGTGTCATCATGTGTGAAGAATTAATCACGTATCGTTTCATAACGAATATTAAAATTGGAGATGGGAATAAAATAAAATTTAATGCCTACTTTGGATTGTAAATATGCTCGGGTATCCAAAAGTTATACGTACGAATGCCGTCTAATTTTCCTGTGAGCGAAACACCATCAACTACAAAATCACCGAGAGCGAGCCGTAACAAATTCAGAGTTATGAATACACACACGTCGTTTCAATAAATATAAATATAAATTGCTCCATAAATACGTGAATGGATGGAGGAGGCAAGTGAGCAGCAGATAGCCCAATTTCCAGCATTGAAGCCTATTACATCTAATGTCTGATGATGTCATACATCACAGAATTATGGAGAATAGGTCGTAATTCCTCCCAAACGATAGGCAAACAAACAGGTGAATTGAACTTCAAATTCAGAGTCTCATTTCCTAAATGACATAAATAAAACTTGGAAAGTGGCAGTAGATACACGAATAAAATAAACTTGGTGGCTTCAGGAATGTCGGAAATACTCGATCGAATATTTAAAATGCCAGCGATGCTATCAATAATATTAGACAGCATTTTCCATAATACATGCGAGAGGTATGCAGCAGTGTTGAAAGGTCCAAATCTCATAACTAACTTTCATCTACCGTAAATATTTCCCACTGGAATATACATTACTTGCAACCCTTGATTCAATAGTGCAATGAATTTTTATTTGCCAAATATGTATGTAAATAGATTGACAAAAGCTGTATTATATAATTAGTGTACACAATTGATGTATCACAAGTACTTATTATATAACTCGTTAGTTTATGATTATCTGATAAGTATTTAAAATAGTGAGTGGTATGTGTTAATTAACTAGTTTTTACTCTGGTATCCTGAATATGTTCAGATTTGTGAAACATAATTACCAATAAATCTACAATGAAAGGTTAATGCTTGGTAGCTCGAGAGAGTCATTTTCTCGTGTCTTACTGAAGCCAGTTACCTTTTTCGAGACTGATCTTGAGTTTGGTATACCACTTCCATTCCAAAATATGGCACCTCCATCCAACCATAATTATTGTTTCGTTTTCATGAGAGTTGATTTTATGCAATAATATTATTGAGATACAATGAGGAAATCTGCATAACTACTTCAAAGTACTGAATTTAATATCGAATTGAATTTTGTAAATAATGTTTGGATGGTGTGAATGACTCCAGGCAGATGACATCTTGAGTGACTTTAAAGATTGACGTTAATCAGATGAGTTGATGCAGCTACAGCTAACTACGTGCATGATAAAGATTCACTGTTGATTGGCAAATCGTTTACCTCAGAACGAAAATGAACTTGGAAAACAAAGTTGGGAAAATATTTGTTTAAAAAATTAAAATAAAGGCAAAATGAAGTTTGACAACATACTAAGGAGAATTGGGGAAAAGGCAAGGTTAGGGGGAGACGTTATCAGCTCGTTGTCTGTAGAACCCGCAGCCCTGTTAATGATGACTTCGACCCTTATGAGCCACCTCGTTTTCATTAATTTCCTGATGGACCGGATTTGCAGAACTGACCTCGCCCTTGGGGATGGAGTGTGCGACTCCTTAGCGGCAGTGTGAGTTGTGTGACATTAGAATTATTTGCATACTGATTTAGCCAAGAATTTAGCAAGCCAAGCTTCAAATAAATAAATCTGGTCTTTGATCTACGCAGAAATGGCAGTTATCGCGAAGAAGAGTTGGAAATTCAAATGCAAGCAGCAACATTTCGCAGTTATCGGAGTCTACTGGAGAACTCGTTTCCAATTCTGGTTCTGCTCTTCTTAGGCGCCTGGAGTGACCTTCACGGTAGAAAGGTGCCAATGCTGCTGGGAATTTCGTCCGTGATTGTGCAGGTCATTGTGACATAATAATTGTTGCAAGGTCCGGGAAAAAAATTGAAAATAACGTCTCGATAGGATTTATTGATGGTGGTGTGCGCTTTGTCAGAAGGAATCGGCGGATTGACGCTGTCGCTGATTGTCGTAATTCCTGGTTGTTGTACGGGCTCGCTCAAAACGTTTGGCATGGCAGCTTATAGTCACATTTCGGACACTTCGACGCACTCCCTGCGCACGGTTCGCTTTGGACTTCTGTCGGCTGCCTCCTCGCTCGGAGTACCGCTAGGTTTCGCCCTTGGAGGAAGATTGCTCAAGGCGAAAATAGGTTTCCCGGCAGCCTTTCTGGTTTCTGCGACACTCTCGGTCGTGGCCGTCATCATTGTATTTTTCAGGGCGAGTGTGCATACGTATTGTATCGATAAGCATGGTTATCTTTGCTAATTTGTTAATTTTGTAAAAATTTTAGGTGGACAGTTCGAAACCCAAAGTTGTCAAAGAGGAAGGCAGCGAGGACCACGGGAAAGAAAATACCGGAGCTAGCGTCAATGTTCTCTCTCGACTTGTCTTACTTGTCAAGGGAATGATCAGCGTACTTGTTAAAAGGCGGCCGGAGAGTGGTCGGACCAAACTGTGGCTTTTACTTCTCGTTTACATTTGTGTAGCTGTTCCCATTCATGGTATTTAACATTGCTAAATAAGTTAATCTTTAAATCAATGTGTACTAAAATTACTCTTCTCGTATTATAATATTTATCTTTAGGTGAGTTCGGAATAATGTATCTTTTCTTGAGGGCAAGGCTGGGTTGGGATTCTGGTGATTACGGCGTCTTTTCCATCTACAATTCACTCATATCCGGATTAGGTGACGAATTTGTGGTCTAACTGCAGCCACTGCATGGTGGCTTTAGCCTTATCATTATTTACTGTATTATGCACAGGAGTTGTTTTGTCCATGGGGATTTTTTCTCACTGGGCACAACTGCCCGACCCTGTGGTTGGATTCATTGCTGGAATTGGTCAGTTCTCGGCATGTTTCGTCTATGTCTTTGCAACTACATCTGGTCTCATGTACTTGGGTGATTTGTTCATTTAATAGCAGTTAGTTTAGTTCTTAATTACAAAAATGCAAGCAAAAATTAAATGGCTCTCCACAGCCCCCGCAATTGACATGATGAACGGCACGATGTGGGTGGTGGCCAAAGCGATGGTCTCAAAAGTGGTTGGAGTTGAAGAGTATGGGCGAACTTTCACTGTTTTCGGTCTGATTTCCGCCCTCGTCCCCCTCGCGGCTGACCCAGCCTACGCGTTCCTCTACAAGGCCACGGTCAGCTCCTCCCTCCCAGGAGCCGTGTTCCTCCTCTCCGCTGCCCTTACCATCCCGCCACAGACTATTTACGCGTAAGTTCTAATACAGAAACCTACCAACAATGAGACCAATACATTTGACATCAATTTTTCAGTGCATTTTCGTGGAGGACGATAGGCTGGAGTTCGTGGGACATTGAGACAACCACATCTTGTAAACCATGATTATTTATACAAAGGTTAAAAACCAAGGAATATCATGGGGCGAATTTTATACGCTATTAATATTAATAAGGTTAATGTGATTTGATATTATAATACATGCAGCAAAATTATCTAAATAGCAGACCATCCACTAAATACTTGGGAGACCTTGTTTATTACTTCATTCTTATCCTACTTTAATTTGTACTTTGAACTCCGTGACTAAATTCTATAAAAATTGATTCATATGCAAATAGAATTCTATTAACATGTACACAATTCTTGCACTCATTAAATACAAGTTGGTAATGCAATTATCAACATTACGTTTAATCTCCAATCTAAGTAATTAATGCAATTCTTTAGATAAAGATAACCGTACTGATCAGGATCCTCGCGTATCATAATTTTAAGTAATTTGTGTATGTACATGTCCTTACTCATGCTTACAACTTGAATATAAATATCCGGATACGTGTGTAATCATAATCACTTGCCCAGCATCAAATATGGATTTTTATGTAATTGATAATTGTCTGCATTTGTATCAACATTGTTGTCAACATCAGCAACAATAACAGCATCCAATCAAGTAAAGTTCTTAACATAAAAGTTTTCAAATTCAGTCACTACATATTGCAAATGACCTCACGATAAAAAAGTGTGACCATAAATATATTTATGGTCACGGATTTACCAGACCGGAAAATCCAGCCATCAACAAAATGTGACTTGCTATAATTGTTTACGTACAAAATTATGCAAATATTAGATAATACGTAAAACGTATCAATTTTAAACGTCACGTAGAAAATTTTAAGTGCAAAGATAAGAAGATAAAATATAAAGCCGGAGAATATGCATCTTATTCATCTGAGAAACTACGGAGGAGCAACATGTTAAATCTTTATATCCTCTGCGTTACTGTTCTTTCGCAGTACCCGAACTTTTCACTGCAGTCGACTGCAGAAAACGCCACGTTTTGTTACGATGACCCAAGCTGTGGCCCTAAGAGCGCAGAATTTTGGCCAGGTATTTGCCAAACTGGGACGAGACAATCTCCAATCAATCTTCCGCACAATATTAACACCATTCGCGAATCAAGATCTCACCCAAGGGCTCTGAACTTTCGTGGATATAAGGAAAATGGTTTCTTCATTCGAAACAATGGGCATAGCATTCAAGTTTCATTCAACAACAATTTGACGTCTTCCTCTGAAATGAGTGGATATGGATTGGATGGCGAATACGTTTTTGCACAGGCACATTTTCATTGGGGAAAAGACATTGAGATTGGAGGTTCGGAACATACCATAAACGGAAGGCATTTCCCAATGGAAGTCCACCTGGTCCACTATAACAAAAAATATCCAAGCTACAGCGTTGCTTCGGGCACCACCACTGGTACCAGATTAAAAATACATTACAAATATATATTTACTATAAATATGTAAATATATATATATATTCAATAATGTTTGATTATTTAGATGATGCACGTGCGCTGGCAGTTTTGGCTGTATTTTTAGAACCTGTTCTGCTTGGCCAATCATCTAATTCTGCTTTCTCTTTAATTGCAAATCACTTGCCGGACAAGTATCAAACGACGGGAGTTCCCGTAAATCATGAAATTGACCTCGCGTTTTTCCTTCCTAAAGTAGACGACACGATATATCGCTACTTGGGATCCCTCACGACACCTTCATGTACACAGTCAGTGGAATGGACTGTAATTCCAGAACCGATTCCAGTACATGCATCCGACTATTGGAAATTTCATTTAGTTCGGGATGAAGAAAACCAACCTCTGAGTCAGAATTATAGACCTGTGCAGCCCTTGTATGGGAGAAATGTTGAAGTTTTTCATAAATCGTTGTAAATATGTTAATGGCACATATTCATTTCAAAGTAATAGGTAAAAAACATCCAGACAGGAATTGACAGGATTTGTGTTTGGAACTATATACATACGCAAAATGGGTAGTTCCTAAATTAAGCAAATTCAACCATGGAATACGATACACTCTCCTATACAACATTCAACATTTAGAAAATAAATCATTAAAACTAATTATGTATATTAACCACTTCGCCCCTATAACGACTATGTGACGTATTTGACCTTTACGCCGAATACGACTATGTGGCGTAAGTTCCCTTGGCTCCGAAATACGACGATGTGTCGTATTGACCCTTGACAACGGAAACGACTATGTGGCGTATTTTCCGTTCCCACCGGCCTACGACTATGTGTCGTATTCGAAAAAAATTAGGTCATTGCTCTTCCAAGTATAGTTTTGAGTCAACAATCCGCCATTTGGGCGGGAAGATGAATTGCCTCTTCAGAACCAATGTTATAAAGGGAGGTAAAAACAATTTATAGCTAACTGGCTATTTCTAGCTAACACGCCCAGTTTTGAAAACTGCTGTTGCATGGAATTTTCGTCCCATATTTCAACAGCGCTTTCAGATAAAATTAGTGAAATTGTTTTTCTCGGATTTAGAACGCCCCAACGACATTTTTGGCGGGAAAACTAACCACTGGAGCCGATGAAATCTCGTTGGGCGGGAAAATTAAGAGATTGCCTGGAAAGTAGCATATAATTTTCCCGTTAAAATTGAGTTATATTCAAAATGCGCTAAAGTATGCTTTCGAACAGTTGATGCTATAATTATTCATTACAACTGCTATCAATTTAAAGTCACGGTAAGAAAACGTTTGTTTTCCCGCCCTAAGTATGCGTAAATTCTATGCATGTTAGATGAACAAAAAGCAATTTTTACACATTTTAGGCTAATCACAAAATTATTTATAGCCGATGTCACGAATTGAAAGCAATATTTGCTGTTTAATTTTCCCGCCCAAATCGGCATCTGGGGCCTTTGAGGCGCGATAATCGATTTTTGTGAATATATGTACTATTATGCACTTATTAATCAATGTTTGTGCAACTTTCCATGCAATTACAATCATTTTTAAATTCGGCGTGTTGGCTATTTTCGGCTATAAACATTAGTGGTTCGCAAAAATGCCCAAAGGCAAATTACAACTCAAAATCCGTTCCCAAATGGTTATTCGCATCAACTTTCATAAAAAAGTGTCCAGAATAATTCCGGTGGGAACACCATTTTTCAATTCATCTCCCAGTAATTAACGTCATACAGTAGGTGAAAATTTCGGGGTCAAGGGAAGAAAAAATTCGCCGTTACTATGGGTGAAAGGTATGAAAATATTCGTCTCTCAGGGGTGAAGTGGTTAATATGTTCTGAAGATGGTGCTGTAATTTGAAAATTTTTGCTGTCAGACGATTTGACACATGAAATACTAATTGTAAGATCTATACAGCGAAGCTTCATATCGAAGCTTGTCTATGGATTTGACACTAGATAAAAAGTATGTTTGTATTTATGTAAACATTTAGTGTACATTGCAGTTATCTGACAAGTTAATATGCAAATATTATTACTATGCTGATGTTATCACATAATTAACCTTAAGTATAAATTGTTCAATAATATCTAGAAACAAATTTGACATATTACTTTTATTGTTCGATATTAACTAGGGAATGTCAAGGTCAATTAATCGCCTCACTAATCTACTAAGTTATGCATATATACTACATTAATTAGCTAAGTTATTGTCCTTTACATGACGACAATGTATGAAATAAAGCTATTCGCACCTACATCAGGGAAATATCATCAAATGAAGAGATAAAATAAGAACAGTCATTTTATGGTAATCATTGGTGGTCATCTTTAAAGTTCAGATCTCTCCTGTTCCTCTTTGCATAGAAACTATTTAGAAAAAATCAGTAGCAGAACATGAACGCTTCTACGAGAAATTTCAGAAATTTTGCAAAAGTTGGATCCATTTGTGCCACTTTTCCCATTTGGTTTTCTGCTGGAAAAAAAATTAAAACCACGTTTCTTCTTAAACTTTATAGTTACGGCATCTTCTTGTTTTTCGCTATTTAGTCAAGGATCGATGGAAAGCAGTATCAACACGTCCAACGGATCGTTTCTGCTTCGTTTGCTTTATTGCTATATTCTTTTTACTGAAAGTAATTTGCTATGCCCTTTGTCTCTGGAAAAGTCGGAATATGGTCAAGCTTTTACAATGTTTCGATTCATATGATCATGAATATCACCTTGAAACCAAGGAGATAACCCCAGTCGAGAGACATTTCTGGTTCTTACTTGCAGGCTCAGTCCTCACAATTGGCGGAAATTATCTTGTTGCCCATCACAAATTTGTATCAATTTTCTCAGGAGATGAATCCAAATATTACTTGGTATCCGTTGTCTCTCGAGGAAACAGTGAAATTGCACTTTATTTAAATTACATATCACATTTCGTTTGTGAAATCTCTTTTGTTTTTTACATGTCAGCATTGGTATATTTCCTGAGATGGCTCAGGCAAAAAATGGTCAACTTGCAACACGAAATTCTACAACAGTATTCCTTAAACGAAAAGATTGTCGCTCTGGAGGATATATTCCTGCCGACAAAAGTATTTCATATCAATAAGCCTCAATATCAAGATATGGGATTTCAACTTGTTGAAAAACTTCAAAAACTTATCCGAATTATGAGAGAAATTAATTTATTTTCGGGCGAATTTATCCTCATGTTCATTAGTTTAACTCTGTGCATGGGCATAGCTCTCTTGCACGTTATCATAATTTCGCTGATTGGTATGGGACATATAAACTCGAGTAATCCAGAAATCATGAAGCGTGGCATTTTCGCCTTAACAACCGTGTTTGTTTTTTCGGCATTAAAAGTTTCAATTTTAGTGAATGCTGGCGAACACTTGAAAAGCGTGGTAACTAGATAAAAACATATTATACAAAAATTCATGCAGTTCTTTAGTACAATATTGTGCACAAATAAATACTTCTTAATATCGGTGATTTATTATCCACAGAGACAAAATTTCATCTTTAGCCTGGACTTGATACAGCCGGAAAAGATTCATCCCGATGACAGAACGATATTGAATCTGAAACGACTAATTCAAAACCATAAATTCGAAATGAACGCCTGCGGATTTTTTATAGTCAACCGGAAACTGGTGGTCAGGGTAATATTCTCAATCTGGATTTTTGATGACCTGTCCTCTAATCAATAATTAGTATACGTAGCTACTTATATGGTTACATATATTTTTCGAAATTTTAGATGATTGGATCGATGATTTCTTTCATTGTTGTTCTTGTGCAATTTCGAGCAGCAGAGTAAAAGAACGTTCGTTTTTCAAGGGTGAAGGATTTCATGATTTTCATCCCTTTATTTGTAAACCAAAATTAGCACGGTGTTTGAATGAACTTTTACGTATACTAAGTTGTCCCTCTGTCACCATTTGTTGTAAAAACATTGATAACTACATAATTGATAATTCCAGGTATGTTCCAGGCATCCTGGAATCATGTGCTTATACATATTCATAATTTTAATTTCATTAAATTTTAAAACGTTTGGCTTTTGGCGTCACTACAGTGGCGCAAAAAGTCAAACTAGTACACTAGTTTATGTCATTTCCTTCAAAGGTTACTTAATTTAACACGCCAAGTTAGCAAATTTGAGTAAAACTATTCCATTACTTTATACTAGAAGTGCCTGAATAAAATGCATGAAAAAAGTTAATGCAATTAACCTCTTTCGTACTACTGATTTTTAAATAAAATTTCCCTTCGGTACGATTTTGATTTCATAATTATACCTGATAGCAACCAATTAAAATTTTCCACCAGTTTGCAATATTCGAGTTTTTGACGAAAAATACGAAAAAACCATTTTTTAACATTGGTCGGTATAGGGAAAATTCCAAAATTTTGGGTGAAAAATATCGAAAAAAATCCACTTTTCACCATCGAGTTTTCCACAAAATACCGAAGAAATATTCTTTTTTTACAGAAATTTTGGTGTCAAGGAAATTTCTGCAGTACACACATTTGTGTATTTCGTCGTCAACGGAAAAATAAAATACTACACAAATTTGTGTACTTCGCCGTGAACGGAAAATAAAATAACTACACAAATGTGTGTACTTCGCCGTTAAGAGGTTAATAAAAACACAATCTATCATTCGATATATGAACCAGGTCCGAAAAAACGCAATACTTAGGTAATCAGGGTGTAATTAGATACAAGGACGAAATAAATTGTGTCGAGTAATCGTTGGATCGAGGATATTCATTTTACGTAAACACAATTTATTTTGGTAAATCCCAGTGGTGTATGTGTACATATAATTGTAAAATACAACTAACATAAAATAATATACTTTGTAACAAGTTTGTACGTATTATTACAGATTTTTTTTGTTAATTTCCATGCCGGAGCCCTTATTCATTGAATTGGGGATCGTATCTATGAATGTCATATTTGAACTTATAACTTTGGTTATATAGCCCTTTTAAGCTCTCCAGTTGAACATGCATAATCTAGGTCACGAAAGGATCCAGAATTAAAAATTTAAGCTTTCTGCTTTTAAAACTGAATGAGATGTCCAAGACCATAAGCCAAGAGGGGGGTGCAAATGCATACTTTGGTGAATTGTTTTAATGCGTTTCTATTGATGTTGCATCACCTAAGAACAATCGCACTAATTATGTGTGTGTACGTCTTGGTTCAGCTAATTCATTATCCTTCACTAAATAGTACGTACTAATTAATTATTGATGATTTGTGTCATACTTAATCTGCCAAGTTATTAATTAACTAATTTCGATAATTTCTCACCATGTTACCGTTCCATATAATTGAAATTAGAAAAGAGCTGGTTATTGGTGTTAAGAAAAGCTCAGTCTTTGTCTGACTGGAACAAGCTTCCCTTCAATTCTGGCGGACAATAATTTGTTAATTCATTAGAGTTGTACAAAATCAATTTATTTACCAGCCACCCAATCGCTCAGTATCTATTAAGGAGATTAGATCGGTATGAGCATGTTAAAATCATTTTATTAAATTTCCAACCCAAGTTAGTACAATGATTTGATTTTATCCTCTAAAAATAAAACTAACCCCAGCCAAATCCTAATATTTTATTGTAAAAATGGGCAGTTTAGGAATTTATAAATCATTTAAACCATTTGCGATTCTTGGAGCTATTTTTGCCACATTTCCGCATACATTATACAAATCTACGAAACTCTGCAATTTTTTACTGAAACTTTACACTTACAGCATCTTTATTTTATCATCCATCACAATTCTGCAAGTTATTCCCGATTATCTCGCAAGAAATCGGTGGATCATATACGCAGACCGAATCACTGATCGGTTTTGTTTTATTTGCTTCACAGCCACATATTTCATCATCGCAGTTGTTTGTTATGCTGTATGCCTACATAAGACACAAAAGCTGATGGAACTTTTAAACGAATTTGAAAGTTATAAAAAACTGTATGAACTTGAATCTACTGGTATTTCACCATTCACCGACAAACGATTCTGGATTTTAACGGTTGGATTTATTATTACTCTCACAGGAAATTACTTCACTACTTATGACATTTTAGATGCCGTATTTTCTTCAGAAAAGTCAAAGTATTATTTGGTCATGGTAATGTCAAGGGGCAGTGTTCCACACGCAATTTACTTTAAACTTTTTGCACATGCCGTGTGTGAAACATCGTTCGTTTTCTACGTTTCCACACTAATCTTTTTTGTAAGATGTTTATCCCAAAATTTGATTGATCTACAAAATGGGATTATCCGACAGTTCTCGAACACATACGACCACCTCGCTATAAAAAATGTAGTAACTTCATTAAGAATAGTCCAAATTAAACAAGAACCTCGTAAGAATATTGAATTTGTGCACACCTTAAAATTCCAAAAGCTTTTAAAAGCTATGATCGATATCAACTCATTTTCTGGTGAGTTTATCCTACTATTTTTTAGCCTGTCTCTTTTAATGATGATTACTCTACTTCACGTCGTCATAATTTCGTTGCTCGCATTTGGACGTAAAAGTCAAACATTAATTGAATCCAGTTCAACTGGAAAATTGAGTACAATTGGCAGTGATAGTGCTAATTATGATATTCATTGGCACGGAGAACTGCTACAACGTGGACTGCTTGCTTTAATCTCAGCATTTGTCTTTGCTGCAATGAAAGTGGGTGTTCTCGTCAGCGTGGGAGAAGACTTGAAGAAAGTGGTACGCACTTATTTATGTATTCCAAAAATAACCAAGAGGAATTTCAAATCCAGATTAAAATATTTTTTATTCGTAACAGAGAGAAGAATTTATCTTAAGTCTGGACTTCATCGACCCTTGTGCTATCAGTTCCAGTCAACAGAAACAGGATTTGCAGGATTTAAAACAACTTGTGAATAAACACAAATTCCAGATTAATGCTTGTGGATTTTTTGTGGTTGACCGAAAATTGGTGGTGACGGTAATACAATAGAAAAGCAGTAGTTCTTAAATATATGTATGTGTACGGATGACATGAAGGAATGTGACCCAAATTAATAGCTATGATAAATTTTACTTTAGATGATTGGATCGATGATAACTTTCATAGTAGTGTTGGTCCAATTCAGATCAACGGAATGAAACATTAGCATCATTCAAGAAATTGTAATGTCTGAACACCCACGAAAAGTTTCCTGAGGGCCGCAACCAATCGTCGAAGTCCCGTTTGGACAAGTTCCCCAGTTATTTCCTTAAAAAATATGCACAAATTACATACTAATAATTATTCAGTGAAATAAAGAACAACAATTTGTGATAAATTGTGTAGCTCAACAACCAGCTCTGTAGTTCCACTGAATGGAACAATGGTCACAAGTCACGCCTTGAGGCAACCGTAGTTGGGTTTTGTACCAACCGCTGCTGTCGTTCACGATAAGTTTCGACCCCGACCCATCTGCCAACTGAAGCAAGTTTTTGTTGAAACAGTCCTGCGTCTCGGCAGACTTGGGGTTGGTGCAGAGTCGCCACTCCATAAATCCTTTATGACTTCTGGTCAATTCCACTTCGACATCGATGACCTGCCAAAATTGAAAGTGAAATCATTAACTTAATCTATTTACATGCGTAACTGGTGCAGACGGATACCTGACCAGAAGTGTAGCGCCCAGTGATGATTCCTTTGTAGAAAGTTCCACCAATCTCGTTGTCCCTCGGCGTTGCTTGGCTCACGGGGTCACCACAAACTCCACACTCCTCTCCGGGATTGTCTTTCTGGTGAATAGATCCACAGAAAAGCTCATTGTCGTTGTAGTTTTTGGGTGGATTGTAACTGGCAAATTCTTGAAATCTCCAAACAGCTAAAGGAGGAGAAAAAAATCTTGAAGAAGTTTAAAAAAGTTCGGAAATATAGTTAATAAGTACATGATCTGTTGGGCGGTTTCATAAAGCGTCCGTGTGCGTCAAGTCTAGACACGTGTGTACAAATAATAATCAGAAATAAAATAAAATTGTAATGACTGTGAGACATTTTCAGAATTTATTTATAAACTGTTGTTCATTTATAGTTCTAAGGATGAAATAAATATGAAATATTTTGGAGTCTGGAACTATTTTATATACAAATTTGTAGCAATAATTCAATTTCCAGCAGATGCATGTCATCAAGAAAATATGACACCGATTCAGCAGAACTACCACACAAGTAAATAGTACACAGCAAAACATAAGACATTGTTTTCGTAATTGTAAAATATGTGACGTGTAAATGATGTATGTTGTAATTCCGAAAATCAACTGTTCATAACTTATTGGCATCAACTTATGACGTATTTATTTTATTATTCTAAAGTGAGGTACAAAGTGCTAATGCTAATACACCTGAGCAACCTGGAACGTTTGCTACTCTCTGCTGGCAAGGGGACGCTTTAGATAAGCAAATGTTTCAAACGTTTTAAAGAGGATCGCTCGATCTGAACATTAGCTTTACTGAAAATGAGGGGAAAATTCTATTATTTCTTAAGTTTTCGTGAAGCAACCAAGTTTCATAAATAGCATCTGAAAAAATGAAAGCTCATAAATAAATACCTATGTACCAGACTTGCATGTATATACTTATTACAGAATCCAGAACGAAAGCGATTAGTTGTGCGACCTTTCCTATACAAGAAAATTTTAACGGGTGTGATACATGGTAACTGTATGAACTAGCGGATCAAGGTCGCAATGTTTCTATGTATATCTAATTCCCAAGCATATGTAGAACGACGGGCACGCCGAAACGAACCTTAGATATTTAATTTTTCATGTTATTGTCCCAGATTTTAATGATTGATTGGCATTTTAGCACGTGCATAAATAAGCCGAATTATATGTTGCGTTGCAATTGCTGAGGCCAAAATATTTGCAGATTCGTTGTAAAATTTATATTTGCATGCATCAATATTTTTCTACAAATTTTATTACAGGATACTACATAATTTGACATCCTTCGAAATTCCAGGAGTGAATTTGGTTAGGTCGATGAGTTTGTGGTCGATTTAAGCACAGATACCGACATACTCGTGTACGATAATATGTATTGTCGCTATGAATGAATCTCAATGTTGAGTTTTTGAAATCTTTTGGAAGCAGCACATGCCAAGCACTCGAATAAAAAGAATGACATTTGAAAAAGTTATATAAATGTACACATTGTCATTGTGAATCCAATCCTAAAACCTGTGCAACTTTCAAAATTTGTGTGTGCACAAATATACAAAAGCACGATAGCTCAGGATTGTTCATTCATAACTGGTGATCATAATATAATACTGCTTTGCAAAAGTTATTGTCTCGAGTGTGGAGCATGTCATGTCTCATGAAATCGACCGGTTCGGTTAATGGATACGATTAAACGATATTCCAATTCCTTTTATTGAATCGTCCATTCGTTCAATTATCCTCACATTTCTAACAAAAACTATCATAATTATGATTAAAACGAAGATCATCTTGAATTGATTCTGATTCAAATTTCTTTATGAGCCAACAATGAATCTATCATGCCATGTATGTGTCTAGTCTACTATATAAATGATTCGAGCCATGCAAATGCTTACCATAAACTGTATACGTTTTTAATATCAAGTAGTTTTTTTGGAGGAATTTATAAGATGAACACTTTAACGTTAATTTGTGGACTATTGGTTTGGACCGTCCTTGCAGCGGTAAATTTATACGAAAAAAATTACCCATGATAGAATCTTAGTAATCTTGACTACTCTACAGTATAAGTCTTAAATGTTTCTACATATAGGGTTCCCCACTTCCAGAAGAAGAGGTAGCAGCAGAAGTTGCGATTGGTACGACTCAATTATATTCTCTTAATGTGGCAAATATTTAATAGTAGTCCTGGCTATTCGCGATTATGTAGCCCACGAGAGAGAATCCAACTTGGAGTTGTCACCAAATGCCGAGACTGGGAACACTGGAGTTGCTGGACCTGCTGGTTAGTACTTTGAGACTGATGTCAGGTTGGTTCGACAAAAAAGTGGTCTCCAGTAATGCGTGCATGCATCAGGGCCAGGGGCGGCTTGAATTTAGATATGTGACCCAATTTGGCAAAAGTTGATCATGGTGTTATTTGCACAGGTTCTACGGTTCCTGCCGGGGCGGCCGAATCCACGGACGACGGTGGGGACGGGAAGAAGGGAGGGAAAGGGAAGGGAAAGAAGTGGAGGAAGGGTGGCAAGAAGGGTAGTGGAGGAGAGGCTGCCACTTCGGAGGACGACGACAGTGAGGACAAGAAAGGGGCAAAAAAGGACAAGATGAAGAAGCGAATGGAGAAGGCCAAGGAGAAGATGGGTGAATTCAAGGAGAAGGCGAAGGAGAAGAAACAAAAGATAAAGGAGAAAATGGGCGAATTCAAGGAGAAGATCAAGGCAAAAAAGGACGCAAATACGATGAAAGCCGCAGTAATGCCTGCTACTTCTGGCACATCAGCCAATTAGTCTCATTCTGATTTTAATCAATGCCAATTAACCATTAAATGTTTTATTCAATTCAATATCAGTACGTGTAGTACACTTAATCCATGAATAATCATTATAAATGCAATTACATTGTGGTCATAACTTGCATGTGTAACTGGCCAAAAGTAGCTTCAGGAATTTTATCCATTTAAATGGGAAAAAAATCCTTTTTAGATGGCCCCAAAATATAGTCCCAACTATATATGCAAACAGAAAATGGCGAATGATATCATTTCACCAACAAACATCGTCTACAAAGTTGTTCTCCCACAAATGTGCAGGAACTGGCTACCAGTAAAAATACGTAGAGGTAAAAAACCACAACAAAATTTCCTTTGACCTCTAAACCTTTGACATCTTGGTCGTCATCTTCCACATGTTTTGTCCCAGTCAATTTAGTTGCTTGTAGACTCAGTCTTTTAAACCGGATCTTACGAATAAACTGAATATACGATTGCATGACCTGGGTAATCCCAGCTTGAAAAATCGCCTGAAATCTGACTTCTAATAGCGGATCCAACCCATAAGACACCACCCAACCCAGACTCTCAGGGAACAATTCTTCCTCGCTCTTTGCTATGAAATCCTTAGGTCGCTCAAACCTAAGTTGCGCCTCATAGTCATCAATTTCATTCCCATAAACGACCATTGCAGATTGATTACAGGAAAGGATCGCCTCTAAGAGTGTCATATTGTGTCGTTTTTTTACGATCGAAATCCTCTCCTCAAGATTGTCAAAGAATCCCTTTTGTTCAGCATAATGGCCCTCGATTCCAGCTGCATTTTTTAATTCTTGTCTATGATTATCGATATACCTGTGCAATTTTGAGTTTGTGGTAGATGTTGGGTTCTCAATATGCTTTCCCGTTGAGAATTGGTAAACTGTGAGAACTGGGACGAATATGGTAAAGTTTCGGTCAATAATTTCCTGAAATTTTGTCATGAGTGGTGGTTTCAATGGCGCCGTCAAATCTGTGACATTCTGACCTTTGTACGCATTGCTCAAAATGACGCACATCAAGAGCCATGATCCTAAAATGCAAGATATTGAAAATAAGTTTCTCGACGATGGGGCAACATCAGCCCCTTGTTCGAGAAGAAACGCCATGGGTAAGAAAACAGAGTTGGAATCAACGCTTGCCAGGTGAAAAACCATCTTTAATATCCCCGCAGTCAGCATCACAACTGCTGCCAGACTTAGCCAAATTGGTGGTTGATACGCTGACACAAAGTTGTAGAAACTTGGTCGCTTTGAATTGGCAGCCAATCCATCGCACGTCAAAAATTTGAAGGAGCCAGTTGAAAGACGAACGATTGGCGAATTTGTTGCCAGATTAATCTGAATCATTGTTGGTCTTGGCTCACCGGGCACGCTCCCCATTGAGGTAAAGTCGTACATGAAGGTTTGGTTGGGATAAATTGTTTCAAAAACTAAAATGTCCAAGTCTGAGTTGTGTTTAATTGTGTCGTAATTCGGAGAAATTGTTTTCTTTTTGATTTTGGTTTCAATTTCGGAATACAAGTCTAGCAGGACGAATACCTTGTCAGGATGAACCATCGTTCTTACCCGATAAAACAATTTATCCACAAGTAGTCCAGGCTGTGCTTGGTGAAAAGTAAATTTCTGTGGGCGGCACGTATGACAAGCAATGTGCCATTCGTATGTATTCTGCCCATTCAGATAAAGCACCCCTTTGTTGGCTTGACCTCGGGCCCCTTGACTTTCTTGAATACCAAGGACCCACAGGATCCAATTTGCTTCAGATTTTTCCTTTGTTAGGTAAATGTAGAAATCTCGCTGGCGATTGTTGATCATTGCGTCGAAAGGACCAGTCCAAAAATCCTTGTAAAATTCAGGACAACTGAACCTGTAGAAATTTGCTCCTTCGTTTCCGAGGCTTGGGTAAAGAAACCCATGAAACACACATTTCCAGCGAAAGTTATCCTTTTGACGGCCCATTAGAATTTTTTTGGTGTTCGAAATATTTTTGGCATAGTATTCCGATATCTTTGAATAGCGTTCTAAAACTACGGGTAAATCAAAAGGGACACCAAAGTCAAGATAATTAAAATTTATTAAATGTAAGAGACACTGAGAAAATGGTCGCAACACATCGTTAATTCCAAAGATTGTATCTTCTTTACTTGGTGGCCCATGTTCAGGGAGGTCTGCGTTTGGTGTAGTATTGGATTTGATCAAATAAGCGTCAGTAAATAGAACCCAGCCAAGAAGAAGTGTGTACGTCAACGAATGTGACGTGGGATATGCGAGCGGACAAGAACCCATGTCTTCTTCCGTCCAACTCTTAGGACGTACAAGTCTTTGAAACAGAGCAGGAGAGGTATTAATGTGTCTAAATTTGAAATTGTCATTCTGACCTTCACAATTGTTGTTGAAGTCGAGAGGGTTGAACCACTTAAATATATCGAAGATTGTTTTGAAAGTGGGAGGGCGTGTGTGATTACGTTTTACGTGAATCCTAAACCTACCAACGTTTGTTGAAGAGAAACTCAAATAAATATGCAAACAATGATTTGAAGTATTTGAATACTGAGCAAGTTCATATTATGAAATTGAATAATATGTACATGTGTCAATAGGTAGCGAAAATTGTGTGTATTCTATGTCGTAGATATGCAAAAATAGACTGAATCTTTAGTGCATTTTCTCATATTACTATTATGTATTTTTTAATCCCACCACATCAACAAATAAATATGACACAACAACACAGTACAAAATATTACATTAATTTTGGTTGAGTTAAACAAAAATTATTCGGTACACTACGTGCAAATAGGGTTTGTGGATACAATTCCAAACAAATGAATATCACAAATATAAAATTAATACTACACTGTAATAGATAATTGCATGCAACTTAAATTGTATACACATTGTTTGTGCCGTAAACAAAGGTGAAGGTTTGACAAGGTATGCAAGTACGAGACTAATCACAATATGGGCAAAGATGTGCAGTATATAGGTGAAAAATTTAATCAATTTTAACAGCACCATAAATTTTGGTGAGGAAAATGTAACTAGAATAAAAGCCGATTGTTCCGGTAAGCAGGAACGCTGTCAACACCATCAGACCAGTATACGCAAAATAGAGAAGAGTTGGAATAAACTCTGTGATTTCTAATCTAGTATGGAAGTAGAAAACAGCGTAGAAAAACATGTAAATTGCCGATCCTCCGGAGGAGAATAGCACACGCCACCACCAGTGATAGTCCTAAATTAGAATAAATTGATTCAATTTTGAGTTTCACCTTGCTTAGCTGGCTTTACAAAACATATTGAACGGTTATTTTTACATACCTCGCCACATAGCTGGAAGTAGCACAAGACCACAGCAATTTGTGATACCGAGACGAGCAGAATGAGGAATACTAGATAATATATTTTTTAATGTTTTGGCAGTTGCGAGAGAGCAATGTTTACTATTTGTCTTACCTAAGAACAAGAAACCGAACATATAGTAAAATTGGTTATGCCAGAGTGCGTTGTAGATGAAGAATAACTCGATGAACATTGCACCAAACGGCAAAATGCCTGCCATTAGTGCACTATAAATTTAATTTAATTAGTTAAAACCCAAGTATTTCAACAATTAAGTACTTAAAAATTGGCGCACCTGGCAATCGGTTTAATATACCACGGTTGAGGGGGAATCTGTCTAGGGATTTGGTTTGTTCTAACTGGATGCTGGTATGGCTTTCTGAAAAAATCAAAATAGCAGTGTTAAATTAGTACAGATTAGGTATGGCGAAAACATAGTGGAGTTGTAGTACAACGAAGAGAGAATCCGGTTAACTGTTGAGTTAACGATAAAACGGAAGAATGAATTTGAATGAAATCGAAGCTTTCTGTCATAACCAAGATTTTCTACATACTTACATTACCGTTTGTGTATTGATTAACGACTTTTGGGTTATAATTTCATGATGGTTCTTATTTTGTATGCATATTGAGTGCATAGAGGATAAATGTGAATGAAATGGACTTTTTTATCGATATTTATATCACCGATCAATTATAGTTAGTTATAAATAGAATTTTCAAAGTTCATTATGCGTACATTGTTTTCGATCAATTAGCATTAATTATATTACCAATTGCATAGTTCATATTCTCCTACCTGAATCCAAAGTAAGCGCCCAAGTACACAAGTGGGAGCGAGATTCCAAACCACAAAACAAGAAGCCAAATCATGGTGCCAAACGGGACAGCCCCACTGGAAAACAATGCAAAAGGGTCCACGGTTACCACCAAATTCGATCACTGTCTTTTTTATAACCATTATTAACACACCTGGACGCCTTTCCCCAAATGAAGAAGTTCAGAATGAAACACGTTCCAAAGACGATTCCAGGAAAGAGTGTGGCCGTCTATTATTATATAACCTCAAATTATTAATGTATCCAACACCCATAATCTTGGAAACTCATTAGAGACATTAATTGACATTGGCTGTGGTTAGAATTTAGTACCATGAATGCTTGCTTCTTCCATTCCTTTCCTCTCATGCTGCGATAAAGTCTTGAAGAGTGGTATCCAGCAAATGTTCCCATAATGACATAAAGAAAAATCATTGCCGACATCAAGGCACCCCTCGAGGCAGGAGACAGCATCCCAAACATTGCAAAAACTAAAAAAAATATAAGATTAAGATTAGGTATTGTAAGACAAAATTTCATCAAGAGATTAAATATCATACGTAGACGCATATTATGCAAATAACTCACAAATTGTAACAACAGCCATTCCCAAGATTTGGATTCCACTCCCGATTAATGAGGCAAACAAGCGTGGATATCTAGGTGGTCGGAATACATCACCATGAACTAGCTTCCAACCGACTTCTTCTAAAGCTTCCTCGGCCGAGTCTTCCATGTTGTTATAGCGGGCAATATCTCGCCTAATAATACAATAAATATTATTCTAATAATATAATAAATATAAGAATAATATAATAATAATATGATGCCTTGCCTCAATGTACGGATGATGATCATTGTGATTATTCCTATTTATTTAACAATATATTTTTATTTACTAAATGCTTAATGAATATTGTTTTTAATTCATCAACCAAACCTGTGAGAAACAAGACCACGACGACAGAGTTGATAATTGAGAACCAGTGAATATTGGCGTCCGTCATCTGTAGATAGACATCCCATCTCGATGCCCATCTCACCTGAACATACCGAGGACATACAACATAAGATAAGACATTGCAAAATGAAAACAATTAACCTAATAAGTCTGTTGTAACGTACAGCAGATGGTGTCCAGACTACACTGTATGTAAAAAAGAGTTCATTGTCTGTATTCGCCTTGATTTCTTGGTTGTCTTGAAAGTTTTGTTGACCAGCCGTTACTCGGGGGACCGCGCAATCAGTTTCCTTGGGACGAATGAAAACTCTATTCACACTGGAGGGAGTAATTTCACAGCCAACAACTCGGAACGATTTTCTAAATAGGTAAATTAAATTAAATCATATTTACAAACACTTATTATGTAAGTAATAAATATGCCACGACCATAACTCACTCATCGTCCGTATGATACAAGATGTTAAAGTCAAGGTGATTGTTGATGTAGGCATGTTGGTTATCTTGCGACATGAATCCGAGGGGATATCCAACATGGAAGTGGGAATTAGCGTTCGTGTCTTCATTTTCTGCACCACCAAGAACAGAGCTTGAACCTGGACCAATTGTTTTTGTCACACAAGGAAGGTTATCCACGATCCTATGAATTAATATTTTTCAAGTATTCATTACTATACTATCTAAACCCATTAAAGACAGTGAGAATCGATACACCCATATTTACAACTAGCATTCATTAGTAGTCTAGATGCGTCCACTATTTTATCAATGTACATGATGTAATCTAAAGTAAACCCATGTATGCATGGTTGACATCAAGAGACATGTAAAACAAAAGTTGAACAATGTGTTTAGCATTTCAACAAGTTCTCAGCAAATCAAGAGTTGAATAATGTGTTTTGTATCAGATGGCGGTTCACCAATCAGAAAATCATATCAAATATCAATGTCGGCAATTACAGATTCCTATGACACTCATTCTGGCCAAATTCATTATTCATTCATAGACACATGAGTTGTTTATTGGCATGAACCAAATCATAAGAGATCAAGAAATCTACATTACAGATTGTAGCCTGCACACCTTAACTTAACGATTCATGCAGTACTCACCAACCCTTTGAAATGAAAGACGGAGGGAGTTATACAATTTTTGCATGACACTTATTATAAGATTTCTGCTTAAGAGAACACAAATTAGATAAAGACAAGCCATCGTAGTGTACAAGGTTCTGCTTATAAATACGAGAATGAACACTTGTCGTGGGTGAATATACGCTTTTGCTTGATGCCTAATGCTCGATTATTGGTGTGATAAGATTTGCATCTACACATGATCTACACAATTCCGTCAAGCAAACTGAGGAGAGCAATTCCACTTCCACCCCACTTTAATAATCAATTCACTGAATCACTAATCACTAGCACAGCTACACTACATGCATGCACTTGCTACTACAATACCAACAAAAACAGGTTCTTTTCTAGGTTAACGTCCAGTCAATCCAATAATCCAACAATGAAAAACGCTGTCTTTTAAAAAACAAAGCAATCAAAATTAGACGGATTCATAAACTAAACTATAATTTAGTTGCTAGTCTAGTACACAGACAAATGTGTACATACTTATGTACTTACATAAGTACATACGTCCTACAACTCAACAAGAGTCTCAGCAGTCTCACGACTTAAATTCTAATTTCAATCTCAATGAAATACTTTTGACAAATTGAGAGCAAAGTTTTATGAGTAGGCCCATTCTTATGTCATAAAAATGATGCAAATGAGACCAAATTTCGTCGTAATAAACCGTATTTTGTATCCTGTATGACATGTCCAACAAGACATTACTCGACTGGAGTTGAGATTCTCAACTTGAGAGTATATATATTTAGCACCACCAACCGAGAGGATGATGTAAACCACAATCTACAATTATCACTCTCTTTTGTTGAAAGTTCAATTTTTTATGGCTAAAATAAATGACAACATAAGTCCAAACCTAACTACACCCTTCCGACGCAACTACTTGCAATAACAAAACCTAGAAAATCTTACAATGTCTGATAAACGAAAAAGAAGGCTAATTACAGAGTATAATGTAGCAAAAATCCTTCAGTGGCTTGGACATCGCATAAATAATTCTATCTCTTCTTGCCTGATTGAGTTGAGATTATTAGGCTAAAGAAGGCCCACTCTAGCAACGCACTATCCTGTGCAACCCTTATCTTTGCCAAGCGATTTATGTATGTATAACAATCGTACACGTTTTGTTCCTCACTTTCGCCCCTTCATATAACGCAATCCAAACTACGACGAAAAAATCTGCTGCCCTCTCATACCTCGCTTGCGTACGTAGTAAGTCATTCATGAAAAAGGCAGATATCAAAATATTCTCTACTTTTTTTTAGACACAGAACTGAGCATTGATTGTCCTTTATCAACAAGAATTGATTAATTACGTGCGTGTGCAAAATATTTACAATTTGTTGAACTCCTGTAACTACTTTTTCAACCGTCATTATTTCATACATAGATTAAAAAGGAAGCAGATCTAATTTGCATATAAATCCCATTTACATTGATTCACCTAATCTGTCTCAGTCGGACTTCTTGTAGACGGACGTGTCGTTGTTGTTACTGAATCTCATTATTACAAATCAAAGTAATTAATTGGTGATATTCTAATGTGATAATGGTAGTTTTAACAAGATGTTGTATTGTTTGTGTATCCCAGTAGCAGGAAAAATGCCTGATAATAAATAAATACGGTTATAATTATCTAGAAAAGTGCGTATCATGTTTCTTGTGTGGACTTCACATGATAAAATATGATATTTCTGAATAATAAAACCGTTTGGATCTGTATTTTAAACAGTGACGATGAAAGCACAAATACGGCTAACTGCGTTGCATACGAGTACATTTAGTGTCCATGTTGCTATCTGACATAAAGTGGTGATGTTAATCAACCTTCGGTGAAACTAAATAAACTTTTCCAGGTCTCGGTGGTTGGATTAAAAATCAATCGGCCAGGACAGAACTGCAAAGCGACCGAGTCTATCAAGGTACGAACCGAACCCTATGTTGTCTTAAATATTAGATAGTAAATATATTTAAAAGTATACGAAAGGGCACGAGGATGACAAATATAAATCACTAAATTGTCAGTGAAAGTGAGATATGGCACATATGCTGATTTAAACATCAATATATATTTACAATGACAACTACACTTACATATGAACAAAGTAGTGATGTTCGATGTGAGAGAATGCCTCTGTCGCGTACGGGGGTTTCCAATGAAGAGGTGTTTCCGGATTGTGACTATAGTCCATAATATATTACGCATATTGACATGTCATAATTATATATTCTTAGTATTATTATTATTACCATGCCAGCTGACACGCCACATTTTGACCAAGTTTGAATTCGTACGGCGTAGAAACGATTCTATCTCCTCTCAGCACTTCTCCCAAATTCTCAGACTTGTAAACGAGTTTGGAGGCATTGGGTTTGCAAAACGGGAGCGAGTAGTATGAGTACGGGAGTTGAGTTTGTGATGACGTCATTTTCACAGCCTGTGATATTATGAATGTCATAATATTTAAACTAGATATTTTGAAAAATATGTTGCGTATGAGAATCTACTGAATTAAATTATCTTGCCTTTATCACGAGAGGGTCCCCCTTCTTAAACTCGACCGGTGCAACACCCGGAACATAGAACGATAACACTCCGTCACTTGACAAGAGCAAGACTAGAAAATATATTGCAAGAAGAGAAGGGAATGGAGTTTGAATACTTTGGCGATATTTTGAACTCATTTTTTCAGAGTTAGCAGGAACGAGTTAGCAAATTCACTGTCACAGTTTTCCGATAAAATCCAGCTTGTTGTTGACTGAGGAGTGAGTTCAATTCGCCCCTTCAAATGCACGTCAGAATATTAGATTATTAATGATTATTTATTGACATCCTATGGAATCCATTATGTTGAAATATTGGTTACACCCACTGCACGTTTAGAAATTTTCTTCTTATGAACTTCTCTTTTCTTTGAGGGTTGTCACCTGCTAACAAAATAAATAGGGTTATTATGGAAATACGTGACAACAATTAATAACTTGCATAACAATGAATTTTTACTACCGATAATTTGTACAATTTAATTTAGATCTCCGTTAATCAGGAACTAAATCTATAAATTCGCGAATCCATTCGCAAAATCCACCGATCCACGTCACTAATTAAACAATGAATCGTTGGTCTCCAGCTGCATACATACAACACTGAGCTCAGCTACCCCTCTCAACTAATTGTCGTTGATGTCTATGAACTAGATACTACAGTAACTATACTAAGGAGGGGAGCTTCACCACCTGCCCTTCACAGATCTCGATGCCCTTTGGATATGTGGTAGGGTCCTATGAGTGTACTAAAACCCTGAAGTGGTTTGACTCCATGGCCACATTTGCGCCCGCCACACCCACTCAAAGGGATGAAAACCACAAAAGTTACCAACTTCAAAAATCCACCAAAAATCCAATTTTGCGCGGATTTTGATCAAATTTTCATTTTTGTGATCCCAGATACTTGCCTTATAATATTCAATAGCAATCTCAACTTTTTTGAAATTTTCGAAATTTTCGAGCTGATGAACTATTCGAAAAAATTCAAAATTTCAAAAAAGTTGGGATATCTACTGGATATGATCACACAAGTATCTGGGATCACAAAAATGTAAATTTTATCAAAATCCGAGCAAAATTGGATTTTTGGTGACATTTAAAGTACATGAAAACAGGTTTTTTTCGTGTTTTTGGCGCCTTTGAGTGGGTGTGGCGGGCGCAAATGTGGCCATGGAGTCAAACCACTTCAGGGTTTTAGTACACTCATAGGACCCTACCACATATCCAAAGGGCATCGAGATCTGTGAAGGGCAGGTGGTGAAGCTCCCCTCCTAAGATGATGAATGTTATAATATTTTATTGGTTTAAATTCCCTTGATTTACAAAATTTCATAAAATAAACAAACCTTCACATGACCACGTTTCTCTCCATAAGTTTCCAGCAAGTGCTCTTGTTTCCCAGTAACAGTTAAAATCTTGTGTCTTGTGCACGAAATTGTAACCCACTAATTTCAGAATATTAACTACAAAACTAGCACAATTCTGACTGAAGTATCAAAATTAAAATATTGCAAATTTGTAGTCCAGCTCAGAGATTTTGATGTGTCAATTTCGCAGTGAGTAAAGCAGCAGTTCGAAGTTGGCGAGCGAATTCGTCCTTGCCCCGAACCAGGAAAACACCACACGTAAACGTAGCCCAGCAGAATATTACAGCTCTGTGCACCGAACTTCATGCAAATGAGATATCTCAATTTCTCAATTTCATCCACTGAACATAAGTTAAATTCGAACTTTTTCCAAATTCCAGCTAAATGTAGGCTAAACGAAGGATAAACGCAAAAATAAATGCATCTCGAGTTATGAATTCTATGATATCGCGAGCAATTCTTGTATCTGAGAAATTAATACAAAAGAATATTTCATTATGCATTGCATGCAAATATGTAGAAGAACTTCTGCACGAATAAATCCGAATCTCAAATACACTTTATTACACACTTCAACTGTTTTGATTGAAACATGAATATCTGAGAGAGCCAGACGAGACAGGTGAAAATCAAATGAATTGTCTCGAAATTGGATTGAGGCCAATCATATTTTGTGCATATGACATAATTTCAAATCAAGATATATTTTCAATATTTTCATTTCTTTAAATTCTAACTTTGTGGAAATAAAGTGGAAAGTTCGGTGCGGGAACCTCACAGGTGTATTTGGACCAAGGGCACGTAATATTATGCAAAGTCGCAAAACATGTAAGTGTATGGAGAAAGTTAGATTCTTTGTCAAACTTGCTTAAATTTTCATTCAATCAAACCTCTTTATGGAGTTGGTGAACATTTTGGTCCGCTATACCCGTTCAAAAGATGTATTACGTAACCATGCTTGTATAACTTGGCTCTAATTGTTTTTATGATAAACTAACCCAACTTAACTAATTGATAGGACATTCACTCGCAACAGTTTGATTAAACTTACGGTTGTCCGTCCATGTCGGTACATATTAATATGCATATTAATTCAAGTGAAATTCTGATGAAGTAAAATTACGTCGTTACTAAGAATTTCTTGGCATTCCGTATAACATTATAATTGTTGTCGAATGAAATGATGTCGTTTGTTATAAGTGCTTGTATATACATATACTAGGTACATACGTACGTAGCCCATGAAGTATGCATATTTATAACAACAGTCTCTGCATGAATCTGGATACAATATTTATACATACGTACATATTCTAAGAACACGACGATAAGTAGATATGCCATTAAAATAATTGCAAATGGGCTTTGATTTTGTGCTTTGTAATAATGACATGATAAGTTTTTGCTTCAATCATTTCTAATTCAACTCGCATTTTGCAGTTTTTTTAGGTGGTGTGGATGATCGGCGACATAGAGAGAAAAAGAGATTAGCAGATGAAAGCATCTTCTCCAGGAAGTGGATACTTATTTTAATAAGATTAACTTTACACTTCAAAGGGCATTCGCTGTGTAATGATAAAAATTCGTTATACATACACTTCTCCATCTTTTGAAGTTTATTCTTTCCGTGAAATGATTCAATTTAATTCGTCTCTGACTGTAATGATGATTGCACACGTCATCCATAATTGTGTATGTAAAACATCCAATGTATCTCGTGGTTGGAAAACAAATTAAGATAACTGGAGTTTCTTTTTCATCACGTCTACTAAAATAACTTTGATAATAACGATATATATTTGGGAAATTTTTCCAATTAGTTTATGCAAAAATCAAAGTCCACGTGGAAACGAAATTGAGAAGATATCTGAACTATCAGAAATTAATTGAAACTGGTTCCGAGCCTGGCGCATGAGCCAACAAGAACATTATATTCAAACTTAAATTTGGTACGTACACACGCAACGCGTACCTACGTAATGAGGAGCTATAATATTTAATTTGGAAGATGATAAGCAATTGGTTCACAAGGGAGCTGGTCACAATGGGGCCAATCGAGCTTAATTAGTAGAAATTGTTCTTTAAAGATAAACACATGCAAATCTGTACAAACTACCCACCCGTTGATTTCTCAAAATAATTTTACTTGGCTGAAATTTTGCATGGTGACAACGAATTGGTTCTTATTAAAATATGTAAATGTGAAGTTACAAGCTCTAACAATATTGGAAAGGCAACAGGGTTGCAATATGATGCAAAATAATAGAAGGCACTTACAATTAAATAGGTGATCGATGAAATATCGTGGGTCGGATGCTATATTTATTTTCACACATGAAGTTATACGTAAATACGCATAATAGGTTTTTACATTAAAGAGTTTTCAGATCGATTGTCCTCCATTCGATAGAATTCCTCTGCTGTGATTTTTCTAAATTGTGGAATGACGTGATATATTTATCTAGGCTAACAAATGACTTGATGAAATCGTAGTCACCTCATGGAAAATAACGCAAGGTGAAAACAACGTCCAGTATGTCCCAATGGAATCAGACGTCCAATTTCAAACACCCAATTCATCCTCCGGTTGTTTAGTAATCAATCGCCGGAAAAATAAAACCTTGAGCGTAATCGAGATTCGAAATTAGATTGCGAACAGTTTTGACGATAGCAGTTAATGACGCAGAAGTTGAAATTCATTTACGTTGAGTGGGCCAGGCTTTATTCAAACTAACATGTTTACAACATTTAATTGTCGAGTGTAATGCAAGATGGAAAATTACTGAAAGTTATGTACTAGAAAGAACATAATTTAAAAAAGCAAAGGTTAAAAGATCTCCTTTGAGTGCTAACTAACAGTCAAATTTTACCAATAATTACTATGATAATCGAACTTACTTCTATTAAAAGTTAATATTTTCACTACTAACTGGGATACTACATAACCTTGGCTTATCCTTTGTAACTTGCTCCATAGCTAAACTATAACATTGGCGCAAGTTTCTAACAAGTGAAGTATAAACTTGCCCATGTATTACACATAAGTATTTGCATACTCCTCCTCAGTCAGACGCGCATCCTTCTGACCTTCTCTCACCTGTTCACTTCTGCTGACACACATTTTCAAGAACAGAAATATCAAGCTCATCTTCCATGACTATCCAAAGGATAAGCATGCACACAACTTTCTCCTGCCACACATATTGCTTTGTTCCATCCAAATTTTGAACTGCTTGCCTTGAGCAGTATTTTGAACTTTTCACTTACGGAGGGAATCAAGCTGTGACGACTTGAAGGATTGAATGTCGCCTTCTTCCTCTTTCCTTCGCAATTGGTGTTGAGTTTCAGACGGGGAAGCCCTGATAAAGATAAAGAGCCCCGAGCTTCCCGTCCTCGGATTCAGTTCTCTCCCGGATTCCCAACACCACACTCAGCCGCACGGTGAAATCAATCCCAGGCCCGACTAACCCTTCTGCTTCAACCCGTCTCATTCCTGCCCCACCTGCCAATTCGAAAGCATTACAACTATTCCTACCTCGCAATTGGCTATTTTGGTGTTAAAAGTTGAAAACCGAAAACTGTAAAGTTTCTTTGATCCAATACCCCTCAAATTGTGAACATTTATGTTTATTTTGTTTGTTATATAATCTGAGATATTATTCAAAATCACGGAATCGTATACAAGGACAGACTTCCCTATTTTGCATTTGATCCAAAATTGGAACCAATACGGAACTTTGTAAATCTTCTGGTTATATTTGATCGAAAGGATTTACGACTTAGGAAAATATAAACATAGCATAAAGTGGATATTTAAATAAATAAATAAATAGGAAAACTTTACATAGTTGAATAATCTCAAAACTTTTGTAAATTTAAGACAAAATACATAATTCGTCTTTGCATGTTGATCGGCTTGTTAAAACTTTTTGAATCTGGATTCATCGAATCGTTCGGAATTGGATGGTAAGAAGCTTAAAAACTTATTTCATTCTTTGTATATATATGTATTTCAGGCAAACAGATTAATTTTTATGTCATTTCACAAATATGAGACCAGAATAATTTGTAATGCTTCATATAAAAATGAAGTTCTGAAAGAATTCAATGGCATACTTGTTGCTATTATGTACTCAACTTGTGTAACCCTGCTACGCACACTGCACAGAACAAATACATACTTATGTGCATGAGAGATTGACAATCGGAAAAGTGCATTTTCTAGAGCTTGACTTGGTGAGAGTGGGATGGAAAAGTTTGGCATTACGAATTTGTTGAATTGAGTGCTGCAATAATTTTCACTTTATATCGCAATGAGTAATGCTCTCATTGTCGATGTTACGTTTGTAAAGAAAATCGAATACGCCAACCCTTATCATGACGACGTCAGACCCTTTTCATTCCACTCCAGCTGCAATCTGTGCAATGGGACAGAAAAGAACCCACAAGAAGTTTCCCCTTTCAAATAATTTCTAGACGCCTTTTTTTATTATAAGTTCAATGTTGGTAACGAATGTGCAATAGTGCATAACCAATGTTGCATAACAGTCAGAAATGGCAGTATCTGCCAATTTGATAGTGTGCATAAATGCATGACAAGCTGCATGGATACATATGGGTACGTAATAGGTAAAAACTTGCAACGCTACAAGATTATTCACAATATTGCCATTAAAATTATATAGAAGCACAAGTAATTTATTTTTTCCTGCGAAATACTTAAGTACATTATAAATTTTGTGACAGATTGTTTAATTTTTCCTGCCATATTATACCCGTGAAATAGTTTGCATTTTTTATTTTTGTATTATAATGTAATGGCAATAACGAACAAATTGGTCACCTCGTTGGTGTTTCTCCATTTATTTGTCACGAGTTGGAAATATTTATGTATGCACACTTGCACAGAATGAGAGAGAGACAGGGGGCAAAGGACAGGTCGAAGTTCCCTTTGTGCTATATTTCGGTCTTGGGACAAAGTAAAGAAAAAAAAAGTTTAATCAGGGACCAAAACTATACAAGCAAGCAGAATTTGTCCTTTATTGGTTGGATCGAAGCAATTTGAAATGATTGATGAATTCGAGGTTGAGTGGGTTCCGTCATGGTGGAAACTGTAGAAGAGAAAGCACGGCACAGTGTGTAGCTACTTTTGATGTGTTTTGTCTTGACAAAATCTGATTTGGGTCAGATTTCTAGTTTATTCCTTTGTCGTATCTGTATCGAAACGATGATAAAGTGGGTTCCTACTTACATGGTTACGTTTTTTGCAGAAAATAACTTCAGTCTGTTCTCTCATACTTATAGTGGAAACGTCGAACAAGGAGCTGACTCATGAAGCTAACTCACTTCCAATTCTGCAGTACTTTAACAAAGCAGAATTGGAAGTGAGTGGAAAAATTATTTATGTCAATTTTGGCCCCGTATTTTACAGGGCCATCAAAATGGTACCAAATAAACAACAGATTTCAGGAGTGATTTCCTCATCAGACATTTCTCCCAACATAAATCCATCCTTTAAAATACCCCCATTACTTCCTTTCACTTTCACATAGGCGCAATCTGGACCTCGCCACTAGAAACAAGGTTGTGTTGTCCTTCTCTCTCTGGAGGCAGTTAGAGCCAAAAAATAAATCACTCCGATAAAGAAAATGTGACCATCTCACATGTCAGTGAGTAATCCTTTCGAGAGTACGACCAACAAACCATCCATTTACGCTCCTATTCGATTTAGATGAAAAGCGTGCAACATTTATTAATGATACAACGTACACCATTGATTTACAGCGACTTGGTAAAAACATTGCCACCTTCCGATTGAGTTCGGCGTGTGGGAATAAGTCTGAATTTGCCATGTGTAAATTTCCTCCCATTTTCATTTAAAATCGTAACGTGAGCACATTAGCATTCAGCGCAAATCTGATCAAATTCTGGGCACACTGCGGTAAAGGAATTAATGAATCGATTAAAGTGCTAATTCTTGATCACGCACCTCGCCCGGAATGACGCTGTAAAAGAAATATGTACGCATTTATATATGGGAATTTCATTCCTGTGCAAAGTAAACAAAACTATTGTCATTTTAACTAGAAATTTCCAAGGGGAACGTTCGCCAAGAAAACAAGCTTATTTTTACCCCATAAAATAAACATAACATAAATTTAAATTAAACAAAGAACAGCCGTATGCGTTTCATATCGGGATTAGAAGCCTCGTAAAAGCCTATGAACTTAAGTAATAGGAGGTCAAATTAGGGCGAAACCATAACAAAAGAGTCTGAAAACCGACGAAAGAAACATCATCTTTTCTTCCAACTCCAGAACGAGCTTTGCGAGGAGAAAGTGCGGAGAGATTAGTTACCTTCCAAAAATCATTATCCAGGTCGAGGGATGTGCACCAGAGCTCTTCTGATCATTACCTCATTAGCCTCAGACGGGGATTAAATTTCACCCACCTCCACAAACCACAGCCATCGCATACAAGAAGACCAATATGTTGTTGCCTCTGTCTTTTTATTATGAGCTTAGTTTGACTGGTGAGAGTTGAGACGTACAAAGTTGGTCGTAATCTTTACCCTTCATTCACGATGGCGTGGTTCTCCTCGAGTCATATCCAACTAATTAAATTCTATGTTTAAATGCAACTAATTGTTCCCACACCCAACCGCGTCATTTAGATGGGCAAACACGTTACGTCTTTCCTTTATTTGTTCCCTTGTTTCCAAACTGTCTCCCGGATGACAAACTTTCTAAAGCATGTTCAGTCTCTGCCATCTCTTTAGGCTTTAATTTAAGTGGAGTTACAAAAAATTTCAGATAGTGGCAACAAACCTGGATAACCTTGGTGGTTCTCATTCTCGACATGACAATTATACCGACCGACATTATAAAGAACGCAGGGGCTTGTTTCATGCAGGTTGAACAGATGTAACCCCTGCGGGTTGCGAGAAGAAAGAAAATTAATTAGTGCATACACTTTTCTCCCGCAGTGTTCCTCTCTTCTCTGTGCGTTCAGAATCTGAACAATCACTTTGTTACTCTACATTGAGGCAGACATATGCATGCATTACGCGTGTGTATCGTGATACCGTGCAGGAAATGAAGGTCCATTAATTACAGTTGAAGGTCAGTTTTAGTTGTGCACTGGTGTGGGATAACGACTAATTTGGAAGCGAGAGGAAATTACAGCACGCTAATGTTGAAGAGGAAATTACAGATGCGAGTGAGCTTGAAATATTAGAAAACTTGGAATTTAAAGCGAATCTAGCCGTCCAGGTTATTTATCAAAGATTTGATTAATTTAAAGTATATTGCAACCATTAAATCATTGTGTACTTAAGGAAGTCATTGTCCAAAATGGCGACAATAGTCAAATAAATTAGAGTGAACTTTCACTCCTTGAACAAATACGGGAGGGACTAAAATATTACGTCGTTTTTACTAAATTGACATTCCTGATTACTCAGATATCCAATGACCCCAAATCAAATAGAGCCTATTTGTTGCTGACATTGGAATTGTGCTGAACTGGGGCCGCAGACAGTCCTTATTAGTGGCTCACTTTGTTATGTTGGCAATTATTCAAGGTAGGCGTTGGCAGTTTAATGGAGAATGTTAATGCCCTTGTCTGCAACTCATTTATTCCGGTTTGGCTGCGACTGGAAGTAAGTTCTAATTAACAAATAAGGTAAATTGCTTCAATTAGTTGCCACAATAATCGTAGTACGGGTGGTGCTGACCACGGAGACTTAAAACAAATTATTTCGCCGTAAAACTTGTGCCAATCTTTTAACCCATTGTACAAACAATATCTCCTTGTGCCATGTATTATTTTTCAATTGGTTTCGATAACTGATGGTGTTGATGACAGAATAGTGACAAAAAACAGTTGCATTCAAGTTGGAGTCCCTAAATTCCCAATCTTCATGCCTATCACGCGACGCAGGATTTTATATTTACCAGAAAAAGAAGTCGAAAAAATAGGCGTGGGCTTGTTTATTCCACCATTTGACAACATATGTATTTTTACCCACATTTGGAGGCGAAGTCTTCTCCATGCGAATTCGGGAGAAGTAAGCTGGAACGAATTAGATGAATTGGAGTAGGTTTAAAGTAGAGTAAATGGAAATAATGGGATTGGCAAGAAAGAAAGTTGTCGAGCAGCATGGCTCAGGTGGGGCAAGTCTTCTCACAAGGCGACCCAGACGCGCAGAAGAAAACAGTCCGCGTGGGCTTAATTTAGAGAAAGTTTGACTTAATCATTCTTCCATTTACTTACGGCTGTCTCGGGAATTAAAGAAATTGAGTAAGTTGAACTGCATGTTGAGAACAATCATGAGAATATTACACAGAATCAATCAACTTATATCTCACTTAACGAGATCGCTTTACCTCCTCGCACACACTTGGCCATTATTACATATCAAGTCAAGGATTAATTTACTCAATGAACTTGTTTCCTCGAAAGTTTCCTCGGAAAGCTTTTTCCTTGAGCGCAACACACTACTGACGTAAAAAAAGCCTTGTTTTACTTACTTACAAACGCCAGTGCACAAACCTTTACTCGGCTTCACCTCCTCGCTGGTTAAATGACTTGAGCAGCCTTCCTTCACGCCACAGCGAGTGTGACGTGGAGAAAGGTGAAAGTGAGAAGATTGACTAATCCTGTGTCGTAAGAATAACGAGGATGAGATCTCTCTTGCCAGCAGCGACTGCTACAACCTGCTTCTTTCCTTCCGTTACCTGCTGAGGTAGAAATGCCAGCACATCTCGCATGTATATATGTACGTACGTATTATTACACGGAATAATGGTCCCACTCTCACCGTGTGCCTGGAATTGTGTAAGTGGAGCAGGGCACACCAGGACGATAATCTTGAAGGATTAACTCACATCTTTCACCTACACCGCCGCCACTTTCCCTCTGGCCAAGTCCATTATCTATCCATCCAACTGTCCGAAAAATCCCCT